TAAAGACAAAGAATATTTAATGTGGACAAGAAAAATTATAAAGATTGTCCCCTAAAGGAACATGCAAGAAAAGGAGAGAGAATTGATCAGTCTTTAAAGTTGCATGTCTTGTTGTTTTTATGAATAACATAACCAAGGTTAAAATCATGCAAGAGCATACAAAATTAGTCGAGGTTGAAAAAAGCAAAAATTCCCTACACTCTAAAAGAACACCATTTTTTTTTCTTAAAATCTCCAAACTCAAGTTTATTAATTATTATGTCTAACTTTATCTTATATATAACTTCTTACATCGGCTCAAGTTCATTCATATTTGGGCTACATAGCAAATATATAATTTATTTTCATAAACTATCATTGCATATAAATAATATAAAATTTAAATTGACGGTATATTTTGACATTTTTATAATAATAAATTTATTTATAAAATCTAGAGATGTGATATCATTTTTTTTGTTATATTATTAAGAATATTTATACTGATTCATAGCTCACCTTATAATTACCGCCTAATTTCATCTATAAGTTAATTTTCCTCATATTAATTAGATAATATACCCTTTAATGTAAGAAAAATATCTCAATGCAGGTAGGAAAAATATATACACATATTTTATTATATTTAGAGATAAACACGAACAAGATATGATATGACCGATCGAAAAAACCAAAGAAACACACACACACACACACACACACACACACACAATATTGACTTTTAATAACGATAAAATGTTGTAGGTACACGACGCCCTTGACTTGCCAAATAGACCTTAAAAGTCACAGTTCATATGACAAGAAATTAAACAACTTCTAATGACTCCTTATGAATTATTAGTGATCAAAGTCTGGTAATAGGCTTATGAAGAGCTTCTTGGGTTCATTGAAAAGAAGAAAAAAAGAAAATATGTTATCAAAAAAACAAAGAAAATAAGTCATGGTAAGCAATAAATATGTCCCGAAAAGAACGTTAGTGAAAAGAAGCTTGTGTGGACACGTTGTTCTTTTGCATAGAAAGCCTGTTCAATATTGCTTGTCAGAGGATGACCATAATTCATCATTACACCATTTGATTTTATGGTCAATTTTAGTTCGTAGAAAAAACGGGTATAAAGACGAGATATTTTCGTAGCTTAAAAAGACATGTGTATATATATATATATATATATTCTTCTACATATCTAAGAATATAAAGAGCTTTAAAAAAAAAAGGAATTTAAAGAATACATTCTTTCCCCATGAATCCATGACATAAAACAAACACTAATTAACGTAATAATTTAATAATAATTTAGCATTTAGTTTCAATTTGCAATATCATTGATATATTGAGTCGAAGTCTATCATCTTATTTTACAAGAGGTTAACTTCAATAGTTAATTAGGGTAATTTTTAATCGTTCAAAAAATTATGAGATTGAAAGCACATTCACAAAAATCAACGTAGATGAAAAATCAAAGATCATATGCATAAACAATGATGTAAGACCATTACACAATTTTAGTCTTTTGTTTTGTTTGTTTATTTACTAAGCAATTATATAGAAGGCTCATAAACGAACTGGATCAGAGGATGAGATATGTGAGCAATGTCAGTGGGGAAACAAAATTGTCCACATGAAAAGTAAGAAGATTATATTATCATGTATACATATTCAATTTGCTAAGAATTGTTGATTAAAACCCTTGCATGTTACAATTCCCATTGAATAATATGTGTTCCTTGCCTTATGAACAACGTCTTCTGGTTTAATTCTTTGCCTAAAGGCCCAAGCAATGAAATGTAATGTGCGCTTGGTACGTAAGTTTATTTGTGTCGAGCAAGCCCAGTATATATGTATTCATGACCCAAGCATTTTTAGCAAAACAAAATGTTGTATTTTGCTGTCAGCAGTAAAGGTGGCGAATATGATTGTGATGTTGGTGACAACTTTGACCAATTTTGCACATTTCTCCCAATTAGTGTGACTAATCTTCTTTTACTAAAGCAAGATGCACATCTTCTTAATTTAGATAATCAAAATATATATAATTATACCAAAACATATTGAAATTTAAGGAAAATGTGTCAAAATAAAATGAAATTTTAGAGGTTAACGAGGTTAACACCCTCTCAAACTTAGATTTTTTTACTTATCCTCAAATAAAACAAGCAATAAAATAGTTAGATTGGTCAATTATCCACCTACTTAATATGCATGAAAATATCCTTACTAGTTGTTTAAGATGTACATTAAAGAAGATGATAATATGAAAGAATGCTTGATTCCCAAATTAAGATCAATTTTTCTAATAATTTTGAAATGTGTGTGTGTGTGGCTAGAAAAAAATTCTCCTGCAACTATCAAGTAAAAAATGCACGCAGCACTTCAACACGTATGAAACGGTATCAAGATTTCATATATATATATATATATATATATATTATGAACGTTATTTTTTTGTAAGGACATTCCACTTTTGTCGCAGTGAGGGATCTTAGTTCCTCCCATTCCACTGATGTGTATAGAATTGTTGCCAAATTTCTTTAAGAAAATATTTTTATGGAAAAAATAATGATAAAATAAAAAAGAATCTTGATACAAATCCACATGGAAATGATATTTTTCTGCTCACTTTACCACTTGTCACAATTCATCCTCATTTGGTATATGTCAAGCAGCGAATTACATTATGGAAGATATCCAAAACACATGTAGTTAAATTTGAATTTCTGAAAATTTGACTACTACATATATTGATGCAAAAAATATATCATCATTTCTTTTACAAGATTTTAAATGTTGATCAACAAATAAAACAAACCAAAAGGTTGAAGAAATAGTACCTACAATGTTGGCTTAACAACCATTATATTGAACTATTTGGTCACTAACATTTTGTGGAAATTTTGTCCTTTAGTTTTTTCAACGAGGCCACTATATTTGTCATATTAAGACGTGCCTCAGGTAAATCATTGCAACAATTCAACGACAACTCAAAAATTGATGATATATGTGGTAATATATTACCAATATTTTGATTGTCTCTATGAAGCAAATTAGCATCTAGAATATTGGTGATTGAATGTGGTGTTGAGTTGCTAACCCAATCTTTCAAACTTAGATCTTGAGAAAACATATCATCTGTTGGCTTCTTCCTTGTAAGCATTTCCATAAGCAAAATACCATAACTATAAACATCTCCTTTGAAGGAAACCATTCCTCTTGATCCATACTCTGTTAGATCAAAAGTTGTGTGGTTATTAGCATGTGGCACATTATGTAAATAAATAAATAAATATATTGCTAAACGTTTTTTTATATCATTACTCTTCATATGTGATAATGGAAGATATTTGTTAGTAAGGGAATAGTATAAATGTTTATATAATGAAAAAAAACAAAATTAAACAAAGTAAAACCAAGAAATGAATATTAACTCATCACCTGGAGCCATATAGCCAATTGTAGCAAAAGTTTTGGTATAAATTTCCAACTGTCTTTGACCAAACAGCTTGGCAATGCCAAAATCACTAAGATGAGCTACCATATCCTCATCCAACAAAACATTACTTGGTTTAACATCACAATGAACAACTAGTGTAGAAGAACCATGATGAAGATATTCTAATGCTGCGGCCACATCAATCATTATGTCCAACCTTTGCATGATATCTAAACAATAGTTGTGAGAGTACAACCATCTGTCAAGACTCCCATTTGACATATATTCCATTATCAAAGATTTAAAATCATCATTTGAACAACTACTGATTATCTTAATGAGATTGCGATGATGTAAGTTGCATTGATAGCACATTCAATCTCAAAGCTCCTTAATGCTTCTTCCAAGTCCAAGTTAAACACTTTAACTGCAACTATCTTTCCATTTGAGAGAATGGCTTTGTATACTGATGCAAAACTTCTTGAGCCAAGAAGATTACTCTCATCAAATCCATTTGTTCCATTTGGGAGATCATAATAGGATATCCTATTAGTGTCTCCAAATTTACCATCTCCCTCTTGGATGACTCATCAACACGGTGTTTCTTTTGCTTTAGAAAATATGCATAACACTATAGAAATTTTAGCTATGATAGGCAAAAAGCATTGATCAAAAGCTTCACTTCAGTTGACAAGTGCTTTTTTCTTTCCTACAAGGTTGGACTTGTAGTTGGGGGATCCCACAAAGATCTCCATTCATCATAAAAGACTGGGCTGTAAAGTTTTGAAAAGGCCCACCATTTGGAATTTCTCCATGTAAGGAATTGTAGGAAAGGTTAATGAATTTTAGATAGACAAGAGATTTTAAAGACTTTGGAATCATCCCGGTCAAATGATTTTGGGAAAGATCTAAGAACTCAATACTGATCATGCCACCAAGTGATTCTGGAATAGGCCCTTGCAATTTGTTATGAGCTAGAGATAAGTTCATCAAAGTTTGCAAGCCACCCATAGTTGCAGGGATGTGTCCAGAAAGTTGGTTTCTTGACAAGTCCAATCGTGTAATTGCTCTCAAGTTTGATACATCAGGTGGAATTCTTCCTCTTAATAGGTTGGAGGATAAATCCACCACCAATATATCTTTAATACTCCAAAGAGAAGAGGGGATATCAAAAGTCAATTTATTTGAACTGAAATCCAAACTTCGCAAAGAAGTAATGTAACCCAAGCACCTTGGAATTGTTCCTGAAAACATGTTGTTAGCAAGGTACAACTCACTCAAACTTTTGATTTGGCAAAGAGCTTTTCTAACGGGCCCAATTAACCTGTTGTTATTGAGACTTAAATGCTGAAGGCTCTGTAATTTGCTAATTGTAGTAGGAATCATCCCATTCAAATCATTCCCATCAAAATATATTGCCATCAAGCTGGTCATATTCCCAAGTACCATGGGTATGGCTCCACTAAATTTGTTCCCACTTAAATCCAACATATTGAGCTTAGAAGCATTTGAGATACTATTTGGAATTGGTCCAGTAAATTCATTCTGTGCCAGATCTAAGTACTCCAGGCTGCGATGGCCACTTCCTAAATATGAAGGGAGAGGGCCAGAGAGGTAGTTACTTGAAAAGGACGCCTTTTTCAATGCTGAAATGTTGAATATTTTGGAAGGAATGGATCCATCAAAATAGTTTGCTTGCAAACCTAACAGTTCAAGTCTATCAAGATTGCCTATCTCCTAGGGTACAAAACCTAGAAGCACACAAAGGGATTGATAACGACATTTTTATAAGAGGTGGATGAGGAAGATAGAAAGGTAATTAATAACATTTTTATATCACAGAAAACTACTTATACAGTACCAAAAGCTTTCATAATTTTTTTATGTTATATAATTAATCCATGCATGCATAATTGGAAAAATTGAGAAAACGAATTTTCTTCCATCAGTCTAAGTTTGTGGGTGTATGCATGCGCGGCTATTTTGGAAAGTAGAAGGGGGAATGACAACATGTAAAATTATAATTTAAGACCTTTGGTCCTTAAGCAATCTATATCCGCAGGATTTGATAGTCACTTTCCAAAAATTAACACTGAAATACGACAATTTGCAACCAATGTTGAAAATTTTAACGTAGAAGATTTGGAACATGAGTTGCTAATGCTCATATTTTAGTATCGAATTTTGGAAAATGCCAGAGAAATCCTGCACCTATATAATTTACTTAAGGACCAAATACCATAATCGACCATGACTGTTGACTACTTTTTGTCGCCACCCATAATCAATATCATGTCCAGATTTATGTAATTTATTTAAACTAGGTTAAGAAATAGGTATAGGTGATGTTGGAAAATTAAATTTTAATGGGTGCTTTACTATTATATCTTTCGATATTTGCATGCATGAATGAAAAAACAAAATGTGCACGACAAATTTGGATTGCACAGTCGAATATTTTCCATTCTAATCCATACAAAAGAAATATCGGAAGGAAGAAAACAATATTGATTTATCCATAAAGTAAATTACGTTCTCCCAGTCACATGTTGCGATTATATCTTTCCAATATTTGTATGTTTGAATGAAAATATCAACTATGTGAAATAAGACCCCAAAAGAATCATACATATATAACACACACACATGCATGCACATGCTTGCATGCATGTAATTGCATATCTGCATGGGTGCAGAAAAGTATTTACCTGTAAATGAATTGAGGTTCAAGAATAGTTCACTTAAATGTGTGCAATTACTTATTGATTTTGGAATGTTTCCTTTTAATTGATTCCCATTCACCTCGATGCCTTCTATTAAAGGCAGTTGACGGCACATCTGTTTTGGCAAATTGCCATATAAATTATTGAAGCCAATGGCAAATCTTCTCAAAGAAGACATGTTAAAAAGAAATAGAGGAATTTCACCTGTAAAAAAAACAAAAGAAAATCAATTCAAGACTTGACATATGTCCTTGCATGTTTGGAAAATATTTTAGGACTGAATATTTTTATCTATCTTGTAATTTGCAAACAAAAAAAAAAGCTTAGTGTAACATCTTTTATCCTGTCAAACATATTAAGTTATCGATCATATCAATATGAAAAACAATTTCAGTTATATATAAGATATAAATGAACATTGATTAAAAAATTTAAATCCTCTAAAGTTGAGATTCTTGAATTTGTGTCAAGATTTTTTTAGTATTTTCTCTCATTTTATTATTTTCCATAAAACATAAATTTTTTTCCTGTTTCTTAAAATGATAAACTTTATGAAATTCACATATTCTCAACTTTAAAGGATCCATTCTCTTGATTAGCATGTCATTGAAATAACTTAAACTCATACCTTCCAAGTTGCTGTTGTAAAGATGTAAGAATTGGAGGTTGGTCAAATTTCCAATGTCGCTAGGCATGAATCCTCTTTTGAATTTATTCTCACTTAATTCTAAATCAACCAACTCTTTGCATTGATGCCAAATTGAGGGAATTTCACCTGACAAATCATTTAGATACACAAAAAAGCTTTCAAGTTTTGGAAGCCCAAAACATATATTTTTTGGGAGTCTACCAGACAAATGATTTTCATTAAGTTCAATATTTTGCAACATTGAACTATTGAATATTGAAGATGGTATAGAACCAGAAAGCTGATTGTTTGAAAGATACATTGTCTGTAATAGTGGAAGGTTGCCAATTTCACTGGGAATGCCTCCTAAGAATGTAAAAACAAACAAACAATATGTCAACATCAGATTTATAGCATGCATATAATTAACTTTAAGCATCATGAGTTAATATGTATAGGTAAAACTCATGTATTTTATGTCATAAGACTTGCTCATTTTGAAAAACAAAACTTCAATAAATTTTAGAAGGGAAAATGATTTAGGTTTCAAAATAAAAATTTGGCTATAATTAAATTCCAAAAATTTTGGTAATGAATTAAAAACATCAATTCAAATAATTATAAATACAGGAGTTTTATATTACAAATTAAAGAGGGATCGTATCATGCTTACCAGATAAACTTGTCTAGAGCAAAAATAAATTATTTCAAGGATGACCAACCAACAATTCAAAACTGATTGGTCAAATAACAAACGCCCCATTCTTTTCACTAACTTAATTCTAAATCTACTAATTCTTTGCATAGATTCCAATAATTGAGGGCAAGTCACCTCAATAATTTTTATACACATAAAAACTTTTGAGTTTGAGAAGCCCAAAAACATAAATTTTTTTGGCAGACTACCAGCATGAAGTTTAATATTTTGTAGCACTGACCTATTGAATATTGAAGATATAGAATCAGAAATTAAAGTCAATTGTTTGAAAGACATATTGTCTGCAGTTGGGGAACGATGCCACAAAAAAATAATTTTTTTAACCAACGTTTTACATCGGTTAAAAAAATCAACGTAAAAAGTATGTGCATGCAGTGACATTTTTGTAAATAAATTTCAATAACATTGGACTATTTTTAAGCAAGTTGAAATAACAACTAGTGCAAAAACTTAAACAACTAAATAATTTTTTTTACGCACCTTCCACACCGACCACTATTTTAACCGGTACATCACCTATGTATTTGTGTATGGGTTTATGTTTTGTGCATGTGATTCTTTTGATATGTTCTTCATCAATGAGCTTTGTTGTAATTTCTAGTTGATTTGTGTATAGGTTTTTGTTATCTGTATAGTGTTCTTTAATTTTTTGTTTCCTACCCAAATCCGAAATCCATGGCTAAGGATGAAATATAACCTATCACGATCCGTTTTATTCTTAAAAAAGTTTTATAACTTTTAACACAAGTTATGTCGTCGACTAGTGTCATTACTACAGAAAAGACTTTTTATATTGATTATTTTACATTTTTTACCTTAGTTATTGGGGAAAGTAAAAAGAAGCAAAGTGGAAAGTTAACTTCCCATGTTAGTGAATAATATAATCTAAATTATTGGTGTAAAAAGTTATCTTTAACCGACACTAAGACTTCTTTATCTTGACATCTAGTAGAAGGTTGCCAATATTACTTAGAATGCCTCCTTAGAAAATTAAAATTAAAACAAATATACAGAATTGGTCAATATCAAACATTATAGCATGCTTATAAGTTAACTTTAAGCATCATATAATATTAATGTGTACTTGAGAAAAACTTATGTATTTTATGTCATATGAGAGTTACGCTTGGAAAAAACAAAAAACTTCACCATGTTTTTCAAATGGTGTAACTTTCTTATTGGATGGCTAATGTTTTGAAGACGAAGTGGCAGTTCTGTTTTCAATACATATGGGATAAAGGAAAAAATATTTTAGCTATTATAGTTTTGGATATGAGATTTATTGAGAAATTTAGATAACTTTTTCTTTTTTTTCCCAAGAAAAAACCGAGTTGCCTAAAAATGAAAAGAAAATAATTTTTTACCCTTCTTAGAGCCTTATATCTTGATAATCAAATGGAACTGGCAAGAAAAAGACAAATAAAGATCTTGGAAATCATCCAGACATACCTGACAAAGTATTATAAGACACACTCAAGGACTCAAGTGAAGATAAATTAGAAATTGTCTGAGGTATGATTCCCGAGAGCTTGTTCTTCCCAAATCCTAAAAACTTCAAGTACTTGAGTCTTCCAATATCAATTGGAATGTTCCCCTCGATGAAGTTATTAGCTCTCAGATCCAAAGCCTCCAATTTTGACAAGTTGCATATGGATAATGGAATCAATCCATTAAGACTATTATTGTGAAGACTCAAATATTGTGGTATTGACAAATCTCCTATCCATATTGGAACTTCTTCATCAAATTCATTGTAGCTTAAGTCGAGCAGTTTTAGCCTTCGCAATTGACCTAACTCTTTTGGTATGTGACCGTGAAATCTATTGTTTCCAAGGTCAAGTTCAACAAGAAATGATAGATTTCCCAACTGTGGAGATATGATACCCCTGAGATCCATGCCATTAAGATTCAATGAATGAACCCTTCCATGGCGAGTATTACAAGTGACCCCAATCCAATTACATGGAGAAGAAGAGGTAGACCAATTAGCTAAAAAATCGTGTGGATCCAAGAAGATATAAGGTTTGAGAGCAAGAAGTGAAGATTTGTCGGTGGTGATGTTTGTCTCACACCAAACTATGGAGACCATGAAACAATGAAGTAAGAAGATGAAGGCAAAGGATGTGGGTTCTCTCATGTTTAGCATATCAAACTAATTAAAGTTGCAAGTATTGAGAATCTAGCTAGGAATACCCACATCACATTTATAGCCCCCAGATTGAAATCAAGTCAAAGACGTGCAGACACATTTCACATTGCCAAAAGTAAAGAAGTTATTAGCGTTTTGGGTAAGGCCGGTTAGGTTCTTCATGTTCAAGGATTGCTTAGGAGTTTGTTTTATTCTAAATTTAAAACACCAATCCCTCTTGTCTCTACAAGTCTATATAACTTTATTTTATTATGATTGTTTAAATATCTATCTTTTTTATATGGAGATAAAGAAATTCCAAAAGAAAATTTCTGTTTTTTAACTAATAATAAATTTGGAATTAGTTTTTCAAAATTTATTATGTGTCGTTATAAGATAAATTACAGTTTGAAAATTATGTGTTGTTTGATCATTTCTTTCCTTGTTTCAAGGGCCACAGTGTGATCACTGCACTATTTCATACGCCCATGGTTAAGTCTAACTCTGGTCAGCCATAGCGCGTAACCCAATAAAAACCTCAGTGTAAATACTCAAGACAAAGTATACTTTAGGTTCATATACTTTGCTCAAGTTTTATTATAAATTTTTATATTTTTTTACGTTTTAGATCTCTATATTTTTATTTTTGATATTTTAAGTCCTTATAACATTGCTCATTTAAAGACTTAGAACACCAAAAAATAAAAGTGTAGGAACATTAAAAATATAAAAAAAAGTGTAGGAATCTATAATAAAATTCAAGCAAAATACAATGATTTAAAGTTATTTTTTTCTAATATTCAAAATATAGCACATTGAGCAATATACAATTTAAAATGCCTAAAATTGTTAAAAATGAAAAACGAGAAACAAGAGAAAATAACAAATAAGCAAGAGTATCATAATGATACCATGTCTTAACTCAAAATCTTAAAACTGAAATTTATGAATCTTTTTTTTTTTTGTATCAGGTGGATCCTTTTTTCATATATTATAAATTAGTTATTAATTAAGAATAACTTTATTCAACATATGAAATTATCAAATCCACTCACACGTTGTCAACCTAACAATCTTTCCCTCAAATATGAGTTTGCAAGCTCCTTAATTATATCAAAGATATGCCACAAACACCAAAGTTTGTTTGGAACGGGTAGACCGTATTTTTTCTCAAAAAGAAGGAAAGGGAAAGCAAAAAATAGTGGAAGGACACCATTTTTTTTTCAAAACTTTTGAGCTCAAGTTTGTGAGTCATTCTCCTTTATTATATATTAGTTGTTATATTCAATTTTATCTAATATTTGACTTCTTACATTGGCTCAAGTCTAATCATATTTGAACAACCTAACAAATATACTCCCTCCATTCAAAAATATAAAGTATTTTTTAAGGAGTTGGATGTTTAAAAATGTAAGGTATTTTAAGTCTTTTAAAGTTTAATCGTTACCCTTTTTTTTCAAAAGTATCCCTATTGAATATATTAATTTATATTTTTTAGGGTGAAACACTCTATTAAATAGGTATAAATATAGAAAGATAGAGTTAGTTTAAAGATAAGTAACTATTTTATTTAGGGGTGAGATTCGATTAAAAATGCCTTACATTTTTTAACGGAAAAAGTATAATTTATTTTCATAAACTATCGTTGGATATAAAATCAATATAAAATATAAAGTGATAATATATATTGACATTTTTATAATAAATTTATTGATAAAATCTATAGATGTAATATCATTTTTTTGTTATATTATTGAGAATATTTATACCGATGAGCGATGACCATTACCATGGCTCACCTTATAATTACCACATAAGTTCATCTATAAGTTAATTTGCCTCATATTAATTAGATAATATAATCTATACTCTCACAAAGATAATATAATCTTTAATGCAAGAAAAATATCTCAATGCAGGTAGAAAAAATATATACATACACGGTATGACATGACCCACCAAAAAATCCAAAGAAAAGAAAATATAATATTGACTTTTAATAACTACAAAATTGGTAGGTCCACGACGTGCTTGACTTGTGAAATAGACGTTAAAAGTCACAGTTCGCACGCCAAGAAATGAAACAACTTCTAAATGACTCCGTATGAATTATTAGTGATCAAAATCTGGTAATAAGCTTATGAAGAGCTTCTTGGGTTCATTTGAGAAAAAAATAAGAAAATAATAATTTAAAATTTAAATTGCATGTTAAAATCCGAGATACTGTGAATATTAATGTTCAATTTCAATTTTTTATTTTTTACAATGTTTGAGTGTTGGTTTTCTTGGGCCCATTTGTTTCAACTTATTTTATAAAAAAATAGCTTATTTTTTGAAAAAAGTTTGTTTTGTGATTTTTTATGATGTTTGTTTAAACTTTTAAAAATAATCAGTATTAAAAAAAGTTAATTTCTGATAACTCTAAGGGCACATTTGTTTAAAATTAAAAGATAAGTAATTTTAAGAAAGTTTAGAAATTTTGTAAAGAGAGATTAATTTTATAGAGATTTTATAAAAAGTAAACATTATTTTATATTTAGTTACAATAATAAAATCAGCCAAAAAAAGTTACAATAATAAAAATGTGATTCTTGGATAGTTGTTTTTAAATTTTATGATATCCTTCTTGATTTTTATTTTATAAAAATAATTTATTATATTATTTCAAAATTGTATGATAATTTTGTGTATCCCCCCTTTTTAGAATATTATCTCTCATCTACTGTATTAGATTATTTTCAAAAACTACTCAAAATAACTTCTTAAGATAATCAGAACAGAATAATCTCTTTCAAAAAATTAAGTGATTTTTCATAAAATAAGTTAAAACAAACAAGATTTAAGAAGTTACTTTGAATAGCTTTTGAAAACAATCTAATACGGTAGATAAAAAGTGTTTTAAATAGGCAGAATATATGAAGATATTATAAAATTTTAAAATCATCAGATAATAAATCATTTTGATAAAACAGCAATTAAGAAAAATATCATAAAATTTAAAAATGATTAACTGATAATAAATTTTATATTATTGTAACCAAATGTAAAATAATGTCTACTTTTTATAAAATATTTACAAAATAAATTTTTTATAAAATATTTAAGTTATTAAAAAATTACTTATTTTTTAATCTTAAACAAACGATCCTTTTGAGAGGCTTGACATACTAGCTAGCTGGGAAGATGATTTCATTAAAAAGGCATGCACATGCTTATAGGTCTGAACCATAAAAATTGGAAGACCACAACTTCATTTTCGCTGAACTGTTTCATCTGCTGTCCAAGTCAAGGTAAGCAATAAATATACCCCTTAAAGAACGTTAGTGAAAAGCTCGTGTGGATGCATTGTTGTTTCGGGTCGAAAGCCCGTTCAATATTCCACGTCATTTGGAAAATTCAGTGGATGACCATAACTCAGCATTAATTACACCATTTGATTTTATGGTCAATTTAATTTGTGCATAGAAAAAATGGTATGAAGACAAGATATTTTCGTTGCTTAATATATTTTCTTCTACATATCCTAACTTCCTAAGACTATAAAGAGCTTTATAAAAAAAAAGGATTTAATAAAGAATACATTCTTTCACCATCAATATCCATGATATAAAACAAGAACAAATTAACTTAATAATTTAATATTAATTTAGCATTTAGTTTCAATTTGCAATGTCATTGGATATATTGAGTTCGAAGTCTTTCATCTTATTTTACAAGAGGTTAACTTCAATAGTTAATGAGGGTAATTTTTGGTGGTTCCAGAAATTATGAGATTGAAAGCACATTCACAAAAATCAACAACAACAACAACAACAAGCCTTTATCCACTAAGTGGAGTTAGCTACATGGATTGCAAGACGCCATTGTGCTCTATCATTTATCAAGCTTTTAGGAATATTATTAATTAAGAGATCGCGTTCAACAACTTCCAAGAGTGTTCTCTTAGACCTTCCTCTACCCCTCTTAATCGGACTCAAAGTTATATGTTCCACTCTTCTCACTGGTGCCTCCCTTGGTCTTCTTTGTACATGCCCAAACCATCTCAACCGATTTTCTACCATTTTTTCCTCAATAGGTGCTACCCTCACTTTTTCGCGTACGTGCTCATTTCGAATTTTATCTTTACGTGTATGTCCGCACATCCATCGTAACATTCTCATCTCTGCTACTCCAACTTTATGCTCTTGCTGTCCTGTTAGAGCCCAACATTCACTACTATATAACATTGCCGGTCTGATAACAATGCGATAAAACTTTCCTTTAAGTTTATTAGGCACCTTACGGTCACAAATAACTCCTTTAGCTTTTCTCCAATTAAACCACCCAGCTTGAATCCTATGTGAAATATCTCCACTGATTTCGCCATCATTTTGAATAATGGCTCCCAAATATTTAAACTTTTCCACTTGAGCTATAATTTGATCTCCTAATTTCACTTCTAAATTATTGTCGAATAGTCCCTTACCAAATTTACAATATAAATATTCTGTCTTACTCCTACTCAGACAGAAACCTTTCGACTCCAATGTCCTCCTCCATAATTCAAGTTTGCAATTAACCTCTTCTCTTGTCTCTGCTATAAGAACTATATCATCCGCAAAGAGTATACATTTGGGAATTTTCTCTTAAATATGTTCCGTCAAAACATTTAGGATCAAGTTGAATAGATAAGGACTCAGAGATGATCCCTGATGTAGTCCAATCTTTATAGAAAAATCCTTTGTTTGACCACTAGGCATTCTTATACTATTTTTTACCCCCTCATACATATCTTGTATGGCTTTAATATAAGCAATCCGTATTCCCTTTTCTTCCAACGCTTTCCAAAGCACTTCTCTTGGTATACGGTCATAAGCTTTTTCTAAATCAATAAAAACCATGTGTAAATCTTTATCTTTACAATGATACTTTTCCATTAATCCCCTTAATAGATAAATCGCCTCTGTAGTTGATCTACCTGGCATAAAACTAAATTGATTCTCAGAAATACTTGTCTCCAATCTCAACTTGTGCTCAATTACTTTCTCTCACAATTTCATTGTGTGGCTCATGAGTTTAATCCCTCTATAGTTAGTACAATTCTGAATATCTCCTTTATTTTTATAAATAGGAATTGATGTACTTCTTCTCCACTCATCAGACATTTTCTTGGACCGTAAGATCACATTAAATAACTTAGTTAACTATCTCACCCTTTCTTCATCTAAACATTTCCACGCTTCGATAGATATACAATCAGGTCCGTTGGCTCTACCATTTGTCATTTTCTTAAGAGCTTTCTTTACCTCCTTATCACGTATTATTCGATAGAATGACAAATTTTGTCCTCCTTCACCAGTTACTAAATCCTCCAAGTTACTAGATGAACCCTCTCCATTATTGAAAAGTTTGGAAATGTAAGTCTCCCATCTATTTTTAGTTTTATCCTCTGTAACTAAAATTCTTCTCTCTTCATCCTTAATACACCTTACCTATTCTAGATCCTTTAATTTTCTTTCCCTACTCTTAGCAATCTTATGTTTTGTTCTCCTTCTTTCGTCTCAAGGCTCTTATAAAATTCTTCAAAAGCTTTAGAACGAGCTTCACCCACAGCTCTCTTAGTTTCCTTCTTAGCCATACGGTACCTCTCCCAATTTTCCTCATTGTTACACAAATGTATGGCTTTAAAACAGTTCTTCTTATACTTGATTTTGTCCTGTACACTATTATTCTACCACCAAGACTCCTTATCTCTCGGACTAGAATTTTTTGATTCTCCCAAAACTACTTTTGCAACCTCCCGTATCTTTTTAGCCATATCCTCCCACATGATGTTAGCACTTCCCTGAGATTCCCAAATTCCTTTGTCCAAAAGATTTTGCTTGAAAATATCTTGCTTCTGACCTTTTAATTGCCACCACCTAATCCTTGGTGCTAAACTTGTTGACGCTTTTGGATTTTACTCATAATACACACATCAAGGACTAAGACCCTATGTTGTGTCGTTACAGCATCTCCGGGGATCACCTTACAATTTTTACAAAGTCTTCTATCTGTGTTTCTAACTAAAAGAAAATCAATCTGTGACCTTGAGGCTCCACTTTTGTAAGTGATGAGATGCTCATCTCTCTTCTTAAAACAAGTGTTGGCAATCTTAAAATCATATGCCAATGAGAAATTAAGAAGAGTTTTTCCTTCATTGTTTAGCTCTCCAAAACCAAAACTACCATGCACCCTCGTATACTAACCAGCCTCCCTCCCAACATGCCCATTAAAGTCTCCTCCAATGAAAATCTTTTCACTCTGTGGTATGTGTCGAATCAACCTCTCCAGATCCTCCCAAAATATCCTTAAGACTGGCTTCTGTCCCGACTTGTGTGCTAACAATATTAACAGTCTCACATCCAATTATTTTTTAAGGAAATAATTCTGTCTCCAATTTTGCTAACTTCTACAACATTCTTCTTCCACTTCTTATCCATAATAATGCCTACTCCACTCCTTATTCACAAAAATCAACATAGATGAAAAATGAAAGATCATATGTATAAACAATGATACAAGACCCATATTTATTCTTTTGTTTTGTTTGCTTTTTAACATAAAGCAATTATATTCTTGTGTCCAAGTGCTGTGTCGAAGGCTCATAACGAATTGGATAAGAAGATGAGAGATGTGAGCAATGTTATTGGAAAAACAAAATTTTCGACATGAAAAGTAAGAAGATTATAGTATCATGTATACATATTCAATTTGCTAATAAGTGTTGATTAAAACCCTTGCATGTTACAACTACCATTGGATAATGTGTGTTCCTTGCCTTATGAACAACGTCTTCTGGTTTAATTCTTTGGGTAAAGCCTAAGCAATGAGATGTAATGTGCGTTTCATGCGTTAAGTTTATTTGTGTCAAGCAAGCCACATATATATATCCATAAACCAAGCACTTTTAGCAAAACAAAATGTTGTGTTTGCTGTCAATGGTAAAAGTTGCGAATATATTTGTGATGTTGGTGACAACTTTGGCCAGTTTTGCACACTTCTCCCAATTAGCATGGCTAATAATCATCTTTTACTAAAGTAATATGCACATTTTTGTAACTTGAGTAATCAAAATCTGTATAATTGTACCAAAATACATTAGAATTCAAGGAAACTGTGCTGAAATAATATGAAATTCTAGAGATTAACACCTCCCAAACTTAGATTTTTACTTATCCTCGAGTAAACCAAGCGGTAAAATAATTAGATTGATCAATTAGCCATATACTAAACATGTATGAAAATATGCTCACTAGTTGCTTATAATGTATATCAAAGAAGATGATAATATTGAAGAATGCTTGATTCACAAATTAAGATCAGTCTTTATAACAATGTTGAAATGTGTGTGTGTGACCAAAAAATAATTCTCCTACAACTATCAAGTCAAAATGCACACAACACTTCAACATGTATGAAATAGCCTCAGTATCAAGATTTCATTTGCCTAAACTTTTCCTCTCTCTCCCCTCTAAAAGATCACTCCATGTAGTCCTAAATCAATAGGATTTTGCAGATTCGCAATGTGGCCAAAGGTTTTGGGCTAATTAAAATAATATGATAAATGAGATTCAAAGATCTTGAGATAATTAAATCACAATGAAGAGGAAATCATTCCATCCAAACTATTCAAATACCTTTCCCCAAAATTATCTTTGACACCATTACTTGTTTTCTGAATTTATTGCAATTGAAACTCCTTCTTTCTCTTTTATTTTCATTCATCATTTACTCACACACACACATATTTAAGATCATAATCTTTTATAGTACAATCTGTGGCATTCCTTGCATCATTTGCATTGCCCCCATCCAAATTTGCACAAACAAAACATTCCTTAATAGCCATACCAATCCTCATTCCTACCAATACTTCACCCCTTATCTCAAGAGTAAGGTCATTCATGATTTTTAAGTTGTAAAGGTTAGGGTCTAATAAGTATGATCACTGCACTATTTCATACGTATGGTTAAGTCTAAGTGTGGTCAGCCATAGTGTAACCCAAAAAAACGTCAGTATAAATATTCAAAATTAAGTACGTTGAGCAATATACAATTTAAAATACTAAATTTTTTTATATTATCTAACATTGTCAAATATGGAAAACAATAAATGATAGGAAATAACAAATAAGCAAGAGTATTAGAATGATACCATGACTTAACTCAAAATCTTAAAACTCAAGTTTATGGATCTTTTCTTTATCAAGTGGATCCTTTTATATATATTATATATTAGTTATTAAAAATAACTTTATTCGATGTATGAGATTATCAAATCTACTCACACTTTTTCAACTTAACAATCTTTTCCTCAAATATGAGTTTGTAAGCTCTTTATATCAAAGATATGCCACAAACACTAAAGCTTGTTTAAAATGGGTAGAGACTGCCTGAAAAGAAGGGAAGGGAATACAAAAAGTAGTGGAAGGATACCATATTTTTTTTCAAAATCTCCAAGCTAAAGTTTGAGTCATTCTCCTTTACTCCCTTGTTTCTATATGTAAAAGAAAAAAAATTATATCACACAGTTTAAAAAAGTTAGTTAACCATTATAATTTATGTTTAAAAATAAAAAAAATTAAACTAAAATATCATGTGTTAATCAACATAAGTAAGCATTAATTATTTCTCATTAATGTAAATTATGAGGGATGGTTTAGAAAAATGTGTAATATATGTTTATTGAAATGAGTGATTTCACTTATAAAAAAAATACAAGTAAAAAGTGGTAGTTTCTCTATCACTAAAAAATGGAGGGAGTATTATATATTAGTTATTATATCCAACCTAATAAATATATAATTTATTTTCACAAACTATCATTGGATATAAAATCAATATAAAATATAAAGTGACAATATATATGGACATTTTTATAATAAATTTATTGATACAATCTAGAGATGTAATATCATTTTTTTTGTTATATTATTAAGAATATTTACACCGATGACCATTACCATAGCTCACCTTATATTATGGTTATCACATAAGTTCATCTATAAGTTAATTTGCCTCATATTAATTAGAAAATATAATCTTTAATACAAGAAAAATATCTCAATGCAGGTAGAAAAAAAAGATATATACATATACAGTATGATATGACCCACCGAAAAAACCAAAGAAAAGAAAATAAATATTGACATCAGTAAATTAGCATATAGAATATTGGTGATTGAATGTGGTGATGGCTTCTTCCTTGTAAGCATTTTCATGAGCAAAATACCATAACTATAAACATCTCCTTTGAAGGAAACCATTCCTCTTGATCCATATTCTGTTAGATCAAAAGTTGAATGGTTATTAGCATGTGGTACATTATGTAAATAAATAAATAAATAAATAAATAAATGTATATATTGCTAAACGTTTTTTTATATCATTACTCTTCATATGTGATCATGGAAGATATTTGTTTATAACAGAATGGTATAAATGTTTATATAATGAAAATAAACAGAATTAAACAAAGTAAAACCAAGATATGAATATTAAATCATCACCTGGAGCCATGTAGCCAATAGAAGCAAAAGTTTTGGTATAAATTTCCAACTGTCTTTGACCAAACAGCTTGGCAATGCCAAAATCACTAAGATGAGCTACCATATCCTCATCCAACAAAACATTACTTGGTTTAACATCACAATGAACAACTAGTGTAGAAGAACCATGATGAAGATATTCTAATGCCGCGGCCACATCAATCATTATATCCAACCTTTGCAGGATATCTAAACAATAGTTGTGAGAGTACAACCATCTGTCAAGACTCCCATTTGACATATATTCCATTATCAAAGATTTAAAATCATCATTTGAACAACTACTGATTATCTTAATGAGATTGCGATGATGTAAGTTGCATTTGATAGCACATTCAATCTCAAAGCTCCTTAATGCTTCTTCCAAGTCCAAGTTAAACACTTTAACTGCAACTATCTTTCCATTTGAGAGAATGGCTTTGTATACTGATGCAAAACTTCTTGAGCCAAGAAGATTACTCTCATCAAATCCATTTGTTCCATTTGGGAGATCATAATAGGATATCCTAATAGGTGTTTCCAAATTTACCATCTCCCTCTTGGATGACTCATCAACACGGTGTTGCTTTTGCTTTAGAAAATTTATGCATAACACTATAGAAATTTTAGCTATGATAGGCAAAAAGCACTTGATCAAAAGCTTCATTTTAGTTGACAAGTGCTTGTTTTCTTTCCTACAAGGTTGGACTTGTAGTTGAGGGCTCCCACAAAGATCTCCAATCATCATAAAAGACTGGGCTGTAAAGTTTTGAAAAGGCCCACCATTTGCAATTTCTCCATGTAAGGAATTGTATGAAAGGTTAATGAATTTTAGATACACAAGAGACTCTAAAGACTTTGGAATAATCCTGGTCAAATGATTTTGGGAAAGATCTAAGAACTCAATACTGATCATGCCACCAAGTGATTCTGGAATAGGCCCTTGCAATTTGTTATGAGCTGGAGATAAGTTCATCAAAGTTTGCAAGCCACCCATAGTTGCAAAGATGTGTCCAGAAAGTTGGTTTCTTGAGAAGTCCAATCATGTAATTGCTCTCAAAGTTTGATACATCAGGTGGAATTCTTCCTCTCAATAGGTTGGAGGATAAATCTACCACCAATATATCTTTAATACTCCAAAGAGAAGAGGGGATGTCAAAAGTCAATTTGTTTGAACTGAAATCCAAACTTCGCAAAGAAGTAATATAACCCAAGCACCTTGGAATTGTTCCTGAAAACTTGTTGTTAGCAAGATACAACTCACTCAAACTTTTGATTTGGCACAGAGCTTTTCTAACAGGCCCAATCAACCTGTTCTTATTGAGACTTAAATGCTGAAGGCTCTGTAATTTGCTAATTGTAGTAGGAATCATCCCAGTCAAATCATTCCCATCAAAATATATTGCCATCAAGCTGGTCATATTCCCAAGTACACTGGGTATGGCTCCACTAATTTTGTTCTCACTCAAATCAAACTTCGTGAGCTTAGAGGCATTTGAGATGCTAGTTGGAATTGGCCCAGTAAATTCATTCTCTGCCAAATCTAATAACTCCAGCAGGCTGCGATGGCCACTTCCTAGATATGAAGGGAGAGGGCCAGAGAGGGAGTTACTTGAAAAGGACACCTTTTTCAATGCTGAAATGTTGAATATTTTGGAAGGAATGGATCCATCAAAATAGTTTGCTTGCAAACCTAACAGTTCAAGTTTATCAAGATTGCCTATCTCCTCGGGTATAAAACCTAGAAGCACACAAAGGGATTGATAATAACATTTTTATAAGAGGTGGATGAGGAAGATAGAAAGGTAATCAAAAACTTTTTTATATCACAGAAAACTACTTACACAGTACCAAAAGCTTTCATAATTTTTTTATGTTATATAATTAATCCATGCATGCATAATTGGAAATTGAGAAAACAAATTTCTGTCGGTCTAATTATGTGGGTGTATGCATGCACGGGTATTTTGGAAAGTAGAAGGGGGAATGACAGTTTGGGACCAACATGTAAAATAATAATTTAAGACATTTGGTCCTTAAGCAATCTGTATGTGCAGGATCTGATAGTCACTTTCTAAAAATTAACATTTAAATACGAGAATTTGCAACCAATATTGAAAATTTTAACATAGAAGATTTGGAACATGAGTTGCTAATGCTCACATTTTAGTATCAAATTTTGGAAAATGAGAGAGAAATCCTGCACCTATGTAATTTACTTAAGGACCAAAAGCCATAAAATGAAACTGACCATGGGTTGCATAGAACTGTCAAATTTTCTTCCGTGCTCTGCCAACAGCCAACCGTGACTGTTGACTACTTTTTATCGCCACCCATATTCAATACCATGTCCAGATTTATGTAATTTATTTAAACTAGGTTAAGAAATAGGTATAGGTGATGTTGGAAAATTAAATTTTAATGGGTGCTTCACTATTATATCTTTCGATATTTGCAAGCTTGAATGAAAAAGCAAAAAGTGGATGACAAATTTAGATTGCACAGTCGAATATTTTCCAATGTTAATCCATACAAAAGAAATATTGGAAGGGAGAAAACAAGATTCATCTATATCCATAAAATAAATGACCTCCTCCTAGTCATATGATCACTATTATTCTTACCAATATTTGTATGTCTGAATGAAAATATCAACTATGTGAAATAAGACCCCAAAATTATCATACATACATAACACGCATGCATGCATGCAAGTATTGTATATGTGCATGGAAGCAGAAAAGTGTTTACCTGTAAATGAATTGAGGTTCAAGAGTAGTTCATTTAAATGTGTGCAATTACTTATTGATTTTGGAATGTCTCCTTTTAATTGATTTCCCATTCACCTCGATGCCTTCTATTAAAGGAAGTTGATGGCACATCTCTTTTGGCAAATTGCCATATAAATTATTGAAGCCAATGGCAAATCTTCTCAAAAAAGACACGTTATAAAGAAATACAGGAATTTCACCTGTAAAAAAAACAAAATAAATTCAAGACTTGACATATATCCTCGCATATTTGCAAAATATTTTAGGACTGAATAATTTTCTCTATCTTGTAATTTGCAAAAAAAAAAAAAGCTTATTGTAACACTTTTTATTCTGTCAAACATATCAAGTTATCGATCATATCAATATGAAAAACAATATCAGTTATATATAAGATATAACTGAACATTGATTAAAAAATTTAAATCCTCTAAAGTTGAGATTCTTGAATTTGTGTCCTATAAATTGTTGAAGCCAATGGTAAACTTTATCAATGAAGACATGTTATAAAGAAACCAAGGAATTTCACCTGTTAAAAAAAACAAAGAAAAACACGTCAAGACTTGACACATGTCCTTGCAGATTTGAAAAAGATTTAAGACTGAATATTTCTTTTCTCTAATCTTGTATCTTGCAAAAGATTCTTAGTGTAAAATCTTTTGTTCAGTTAAACATATCAAGTTATTGATCACATCGATATGAAAAACAATTTCAGTTATAAGATATAACTGAACATTGATTAACAAATTTAAATCCTCTAAAATTAAGATTCATGAATTTGTGTAAAGTCCTTTTTTTTGTATTTTCCCTTGTTTTATTATTTTTTATAAAACATAAAAAATTTTGTCCATTTTTAAAACGACAAACTTCATGAAATTCACATATTTTCAACTTTAAAGAATCCATTCTCTCGAGTAGCATATCTTTGAAATAATTTATTAAACTCATACCTTCCAAGTTGCTGTCGTAAAGATGTAAGAATTGGAGGTTGGTCAAATTTTCGATGTCACTTGGCATGAATCCTCTGTTGAATTTGTTCTCACTTAATTCTAAATCAACCAATTCTTTACATTGATGCCAAATGGAGGGTATTTCACCTGACAAATCATTTAGAAACACATAAAAGCTTTCAACTTTTGGAAGCCCAAAACACATATTTTTTGGGAGTCTACCAGACAAATGATTTTTACCAAGTTCAATATCTTTTAACATTGAACTATTGAATATTGAAGATGGTATAGAACCAGAAAGCTGATTGTTTGAAAGATACATTGCCTGTAATAGTGGAAGGTTGCCAATTTCACTGGGAATGTCTCCTAAGAATGTAAAAACAAACAAAAAATATGTCAGTTTCAGCTTTATATCATGCATATAATTAACTTTAAGCATCATGAGTTAATATGTATTGGTAAAACTCATGTATTTTAAATCATAAGACTTGCTCATTTTGAAAAACAAAACTTTAATAAATTTTAGAAGGGAAAATGATTTAGGTTTCGAAATAAAAATTTGGCAATAATTAAGTTCCAAAATTTTTGTTAATGAATTGAAAATATCGAGTCAAAGATGTGTACACACATTTCATATTGCCAAAAGTAAAGAAGTTATTAGCGTTTTGGGTATGGCCGGTTAGGTTCTTCATGTTCAAGGAGTGCTTATGAGTTTTTTAAGCAGTTTGTTTTTATTCTAAATTTGAAACACCGATCTCTCTTGTCTCTATAAGTCTATATAACTTTATTTTATTATGGTTGTTTAAATATCTATCTTTTTTATATGGAGATGAGTAAGTTCCAAAAGAAAATTTGTGTTTTTAAACTAATAATAAATTTGGAATTAGTTTTTCAAAATTTATTATGTGCAGTTGTTATAAGATAAATTTCTGTTTGAAAATTATGTGTCGTTTGATCATTTCTTTCCTTGTTTCAATGGCCACAGTACAATCACCGCACTATTTCATACGCGCATGGTTCAGTCTAAGTCTGATCACCCCCATAGCTCGTAACCCAAAAAAAAACGTCAGTATAAATATTCAAGACAATATATTATTTTGGATTAATGTACTTCACTCAAATTTTATTATAAATTTTTATATTTTTTATATTTTAAATTTTTATGTTTTTATTTTTAATATTTTAAATTTTTATAACATTAAAAAATAAAAATGTAGAAATCAAGAACACACAAAAAAAAAATACAGGAATTATAGTTGAACTCAAGCAAATTGTAATAATCTAAAGTTATATTTTTTTAATATTCAAAATTTAGTATGTTGGGCAATATACAATTTAAAATACCTAAAATTGTTAAAAATGGAAAACAACAAACGAGAGAAAATAACAAATAAACAAGAGTATTAAAATGATATCATGTCTTAACTCAAAATCTTAACGCTCAAATTTATGAATCTTTTTTTTTTGGTATTAGGTGGATCCTTTTTTTATATATTATATATTAGTTATTAATTAAGAACAACTTTATTCAACATATGAAATTATCAAATCCACTCACACCTTGTCAACCTAATAATCTTTCCTTCAAATATGAGTTTGCAAGCTCCTTATATCAAAGATATACCACAAACATTAAAGTTTGTTTGGAATGGGTAGAGACCATATTTTTCTCAAAAGAGGGAAAGGGAAAGCAAAAATAACGGAAGGACACCATTGTTTTTTTTTTTTTTTTCCAAAACTTTCAAGCTCAAGTTTATGAGTCATTTTCCTTTATTAATATATTAGTTGTTATATCCAATTTTATTTAATATGTGACTTCTTACATCGGCTCAAGTCTAATCATATTTAAACAACCTAACAAATATACTCCCTCAATTTAAAAATATAAAGTATTTTTTAAGAAGTTGGATGTTCAAAAATGTAAAATATTTTAAGTCTTTTAAAGTTTAATCATTACCTTTTTTTTCAAAAGTATCCCTATTAAATATATTAATTTATATTTTTTAAGGTGAAACACCCTATTAAATAGAAATAAATATAGAAATATAGGATTAGTTTACAGATAAGTAACTATTTTATTTGAGGATAAAATTTAATTAAAAATATCTTACATTTTTAATGGGGGGAATATAATTTATTTTCATAAACTATCGTTGGATATAAAATCAATATAAAATATAAAGTGACAATATATATTGACATTTTTATAATAAATTTATTGATAAAATCTATAGATGTAATATCATTTTTTTGTTATATTATTGAGAATATTTATACCGATGAGCGATGACCATTACCATGGCTCACCTTAAAATTACCACATAAGTTCATCTATAAGTTAATTTGCCTCATATTAATTAGATAATATAATCTATACTCTCACAAAGATAATATAATCTTTAATGCAAGAAAAATATCTCAATGCAGGTAGAAAAAATATATACATACACGGCATGACATGACCCACCGAAAAATCCAAAGAAAAGAAAATATAATATTGACTTTTAATAACTACAAAATTGGTAGGTCCACGACGTGCTTGACTTGTGAAATAGACGTTAAAAGTCACAGTTCGCACGCCAAGAAATGAAACAACTTCTAAATGACTCCGTATGAATTATTAGTGATCAAAATCTGGTAATAAGCTTATGAAGAGCTTCTTGGGTTCATTTGAGAAAAAATAAGAAAATAATAATTTAAAATTTAAATTGCATGTTAAAATCCGAGATACTGTGAATATTAATGTTCAATTTCAATTTTTATTTTTTACAATGTTTGAGTGTTGGTTTTCTTGGGCCCATTTGTTTCAACTTATTTTATAAAAAAAATCACTTATTTTTTGAAAAAAGTTTGTTTTGTGAGTTTTTATGACATTTGTTTAAACTTTAAAAATAATCAGTATTAAAAAAAGTTAATTTCCGATTAATTTAAGGGAAAATTTGTTTAAAATTAAAAAATAAGTAATTTTTAGATAGTTTAGAGATTTTGTAAAAAGAGATTAATTTTATAAAGATTTTATAAAAAGTAAACATTATTTTATGTTCAGTTACAATAATAAAATCAGCCAAAAAAAGTTAAAATAATAAAAATGTGATTGTTAGATAGAAGTTTTTAAATTTTATAATATCCTTCTTGATTTTTATTTTATAAAAATAATTTATTATATTATTTTAAAATTGTATAATAATTTTGCGTATCCCACCTCTTTAAAACATTATATCTCATCTATTGTATTAGATTATTTTTTAAAAACTACTCAAAATAACTTCTTAAGATAATCAAAACAGAATAATCTTTTTCAAAAAAAAAAAAAGAAGTGATTTTTCATAAAATAAGTTAAAACAAACAAGACCTAAGAAGTTACTTTGAGTAGCTTCTAAAAACAATCTAATACGGTAGATAAAAAAAAGTGTTTTAAATAGGCATAATACATGAAGATATTATAAAATTTTAAAATCATCATATAATAAATCATTTTGATAAAACATAAATTAAGAAAAATATCATAAAATTTAAAAATAATTAACTGATTATGAATTTTTTTTAATTGTAACCAAACATAAAATAATATCTACTTTTTATAAAATATTTAAAAAATAAATTTCTTTTTATAAAATATCTAAGTTATTAAAAAATTATTTATTTTTTAATCTTAAATAAACGATCCTTTTGAGAGGCTTGACATACTAGCTAGCTGGGAAGATGATTTCATTAAAAAGGCATGCACATGCTTATAGGTCTGAACCATAAAAATTGGAAGACCACAACTTCATTTTGGCTGAACTGTTTCATCTGTTGTCCAAGACAAGGTAAGCAATAAATATACCCCTTAAAGAACGTTAGTGAAAAGCTCGTGTGGATACATTGTTTCTATAGAAAGCCCGTTCAATATTCCGCGTCATTTGGAAAATTCAGTGGATGACCATAATTCAGCATTAATTACACCATTTGATTTTATGGTCAATTTAATTTGTGCGTAGAAAAAATGGTATGAAGACAAGATATTTTCGTTGCTTAATTAAAAAGACCAATATATTTTCCTCTACATATCCTAACTTCCTAAGACTTTAAAGAGCTTTATAAAAAAAAAGGATTTAAAGAATACATTCTTTCACCATCAACATCCATGATATAAAACAAGAACAAATTAACTTAATAATTTAATAGTAGTTTAGCATTTAGTTTCAATTTGCAATATCATTGGAGATATTGAGTCGAAGTCTATCATCTTATTTTACAAGAGGTTAACTTCAATAGTTAATTAGGATAATTTTGCTTGATTCACAAATTAAAATCAATCTTTCTAACAATTTTGAAATGTGTGTGTGTAACCAAAAAATAATTCTGCTACAGCTATCGAGTCAAAATGCACAGAGCACTTCAACATGTATGAAATAGCCTCAATATCAATATTTCATTTGCCTAAACTTTTTCTCTCTCTCCTCTAAAAAATCACTCCATGTAGTCCAAAATCAATAGGATTTTGTAGGTTTGTAATGTGGCCAAAGATTTTGGGCTAATTAAAAGAATATGATAAATGAGATTCAAAGATCTTGAGATAATTAAATGACAATGAAGAGGAAATCATTCCATCCAAACTATTATTCCCCAAAATTATCTTTGATACCATTGCTTGTTCTCCGAATTTATTGCAATTGAAACTCCTTCTTTCTCTTTTTTTTTTCAGTCATCATTTACACACACACACATATGTTTAAGATCATAATTTTTTATAGTACAATCTGTGGCATTCCATGCATCATTTGCATTGCCCCCATCCAAATTTACACAAACAAAACATTCCTTAATGGCCATACCATCCCTCATTACTAACAATACTTCACCACTTATCTCAAGAGTAAGGTCATTTATGGTTTTTCAAGTTGTAAAGGTTAGGTCTAATTTAGGTTTAAAAAGAAAATTCACATGAATTTTCAAGCAAATCCTCAAAAGGGGGTTTAAGTGAAAATAATGCAATAGGTAGACTTGAAAGGCTCATTTACATTTGAAAGAATACCAAAATCATTTTTTAAAATTATGTGAAGTAATTAAAATTTTCTAGAGATTCCAAGCCAATTTTTAGAGTCTCTTAGTTGAAAAAGAAAAAACATCAATTTGTCACAAATTTTTCTAATAGAGGCATTTAAATCATTTTCTATTCTTGATGCAAAAGAAAATTTCAAAACTTGTTGGAAAACAAGCCTTAACGTTACAAATCTAGCATAGCAAAACATTGACCACAGAACTTCCTATTAAGTATACAATCTAAGTAACCTTTTATCATTAGATCACACTTTAGTTTAACAAATTAATAGGGATAGTATTGTTCTTGTACCTTAAACCCAAAAGACTTGGTTGTAGTTTCTTAATTTTGTAGAACTTATTTATAAATAAACCTACTAGATAGGACTTATTCATTATTTTTCCTTAATTTAATTAATTATTCAATCTCTTATTACAATTAATAAAACTAAATTTTAAGCTCCAACCCTAATGTGGCTATGCAAAGATAACAAGTATATCTATATATTATTAACAAAAGCATCCCTGTATCATGCAAACTTCAAGTTCTACACTTAAATTAGCCCTCTCAAGTATCACCCTAATGAACAAATTAACTAAATGGTGACCAAACACTTAAAATCACTAAGAGAAGAGTAAAATAAACAGTTATACATCATTAATCACAAAAAGAGAGGAGAAAACTAACATTAATCCATTTAGTAAAGTGTTTAGATTTTTATAATCATTCACAAGCTACAAATATTCAAAATACTTAAACACATATCAGATTTCAAGAGGAGAGGAGAAGTGAAAAAAAAAAAAAAAAAGCAAGAGAATGGTGGTCCAAATGCCTTGAAATCTTATATTTGCTCTAAGCTCTTCTAACTCCAAAACCTTAGCTCACAAAGCTGCCCATGGTGGTTCAAAGTCAGAACAATGCCTTCCAAGTCAAAACAGCAGCATATATATACATCAAATCCTAACTTTTTCAGCTAATCAAAACATTTTGTGTTTTGTTAGCATCAAAGTTGAGAATAACTTTGCAAATTTGGTCAGAACTTTGCTCTGTTATGTACATTTCTCTCATTTGGCATGATTGTTCACCTTTACACCTGATTTCTTTATCTTAATACATTCCAAGGCATCCCTTAATGTCCAAAAACGCCCAACAGAACATTAAACTAAAATATTAATAAATTAGCTTGAAAATACCAAAATAGAGCCATGGTTTGAATTTCCAAAAAAAATATGTACATTTTCCTAACTTGAGTATTTAAAATATGTACAATTAAAAAACCCAAAAACATTGTGATGAAATGGTATGAAATTCTAGATGTTAACAGCATCATATTATTTTCAAAAGCTGCTCAAGAGTAGCTTCTCAAACTAATTAAAAATCCTTTTTTAGATTCTTTGATTATTTTCAAAAATTTAAACAAACATCATCAAATTTCTCGTAATATGATCTGTTTCAAGAAAGAAGAAATTTTTCATGAAAAAAGTTTAAACAAACGAGCTGCAAACTACGGAGAAAAAAGTAGAAAACAAAACAAAAAATAACGTGAAGATGTCCGCCAAATAATTAAGCCATCAAGGTCTGAAAATATGAAATTTCACTTTTATATATATATATATATATTTATTTATTTATTTATTTATTTATTGATATAACAAATATCAACATCACTCCATCTTGCAAGATGTTCCACAAATAAAACAAGGCAAAGGGTTAAAGAAATGTAGTAACTAAAATTTGATTTTAACAATTATTTACCTAGTGGCTCGTGTGTCTAAGATTTCGCCTAAATATAGCCTTACTTTTTTCAATGACACCACAATATCTTTCATATCGAGTCGCGCCTCAGGGAAATCAAGGCAACAATGTAAGGCCAATTCAAAAATTGTTGAAATATGTGGTAATATGTTACCAATATGTCTATTGTCTGTAAGCAGCAAATTGCCATCTAAAATATTGATGATTGATTGTGGTATTGATTCACTAACCCAATCTTTTAAACTTAGACCTTGACCAAACATCTCATCTATTGGCTTCTTCCTTGTAAGTGTTTCTATGAGCAAAATACCAAAACTATATACATCTCCTTTAACAGAAACCGCCCCTTTCGATCCATACTCTGCATGCCAATTTGATTGCTAAGTGTTCATTAATAGAAATAGAAGAATGTAAGCATAATATATATTCCTTAGTAAAGGATGTTCAAATGTATAAAAGAACATAAGAAAAGTAATTAAATAAAATATAATAAAATATGATTACTAAATAATCACCTGGTGCCATATAACCAAATGTAGCCAAAGTTTTCGTATAAATCTTTGACTGCCCAAGGCCTAACAATTTGGCCATTCCAAAATCACTAAGATGGGCCACCATATCTTCATCTAGCAAAACATTGCTTGGCTTTACATCACAATGAACCACCGATAAAGAAGAACCATGATGAAGATACTCTAGCGCAGATGCTATGTCGATCATTATATTCAATCTTTGCAAGATATCTAAACAATAGTTATGGGAATACAACCATCTGTCAAGACTTCCATTTGGCATAAATTCCATTATTAGAGATTTAAAATCAAGATTTGAACAACTACTAATGATTTTAACAAGATTCCGATGACGTAAATTGCACAAGGTAGCACATTCAACGTCAAAGCTCCTTAATGCTTCTTCCAAATCTAAGTTAAAAACTTTCACAGCAACTGTTTTTCCACTTGAAAGAATTGCTTTGTATACAGATCCAAAACTTCCCTTGCCAAGAAAATTACTTTCATTGAAACTATTTGTTCCTTGCAAAAGTTCATAATAGGATATCCTAGGTGGGTCCAAATTTAGGAAATCCCTGTTGGTCCTTTCACTCATACGATCCTTCTTACACTTGAGAAAAACTATGCAAGAACTAACCAAAACGATTGCCACCATGATAGGCAATACATATTTAATCAAAAACATCATTTTAGCTGACTTGTGCTTTTTTTCTATTATACATGGATGGACTTGCAGCTCAGGCTTCCCACAAAGATCTTTATTCATAATATAAGATTCCACTGTAAAATTTTGAAATGGCCCACCGTTTGGAATTTCTCCATGCAATAAATTGAAGGAGAGATTAATGTATTTCAGATAGGCAAGCGATTCTAATGACTTTGGAATCACACCAGACAAATAATTTTGAGAAAGATCTAAGAACTCAAGGCTTATCATGCCACCAAGTGATTCAGGTATAGAACCTTGTAAGTTATTATGAGCCAATGATAGGTTTTGCAAGCTTTGCAAGCTTCCCATGGTTGCAGGAATGTTTTCTGAAATTTGATTTCTTGACAAGTTCAATAGTGTGATTGATCTCAAGTTGGACACCTCAGGTGGAATTCTCCCACTAAATGCATTGGAGGATAAGTCTACAACCAAGATATCTTTGAGATTCCAAAGAAAGGAGGGAATATGAGAAGTCAATTTGTTAAGGCTGAAGTTCAACTTCTGTAAAGAAGTAAGATTCTCAAGGCACCTTGGAATTGTTCCTGAAAACCTGTTGTTGGCCAGATTCAACACACTCAAACTTTTGACTAGGCAAAGTTCTTCAATGATAGACCCTTGCAATTTGTTATCACTGAGGTCTAAAAGTTGTAGGCTTTGTAATTTGCCAATTGTAGTAGGAATCAACCCATTCAAATCATTTCCACCCAAATATAATGCCACCAAATTGGTTAAATTCCCAAGTGCACGGGGAATATCACCACTAAATTTATTATCATTTAAATATAATTTATTGAGCTTAGAAGCATTTGCTATGCTTTTTGGAATTTTTCCAGTAAGTTCGTTCCCCTCCACATTAAAAACTTTCAGGTTGGGAAGACTACTTCCTAAATATGATGGGAGAAGGCCAGAGAACATATTCGTTCCAAGGTACACTCGTACTGCTACTGAGATGTTGAATATATTGGAGGGCATATATCCACTTAAATGATTCATTGACAATTCTAATTCTTCAAGTTTATCAAGATTGCCTATGTCATTAGGTATAGAACCTGGAAGAAAAGAAACACTGATATATAATACTTTTACAGATGGATGGACTAGCAAGCAAAAACAAGAACTCACGAGTAATAATTTTTGTGTTATAGTATATATGAATGCATCACTTAATATTACATAAACTACACATATTTGTGTTTTTTTTTCTTTGGGTAAAAAACTGCACGTACTTGTCTAAAAACTTTCAGGTATATGTAGCATTTGGATTGATAGATTTGCATTTGAATTTGAATTTTAGAATTTAAATATCACATTTAAAATTGATGTATTTAAAATCTTTTGTTTGAATAGTATAAAATATTTCAAAGGAATGAGAGAGATTAATTGAGATTCGAAATAAAAACTGAAGATTCGAAATGACAAACTTACCTTAATCAGCAAGTGCTAATCTCTAGAATTTCTTATCATTTCATAACATTTTCCTTGCATTTTATTATATTTGGGCACAATTGTATATACATTTTGAATATCCAAGTTAGGAAAATGTGCTTATTGTTTAAAATTCACATCATAGTTTTATATTTTGATAACTTTTGGGCTAATTTCATACTATTTTGGTTTAAGGTTGTGTTGGAGGCATTTCTGGTGATTAGGTGAGGCTTTTGGAAGGTGTTTAGATGAAGAAATCAAACGCAGAGGTGACCAATCACGCTAAAAGAAAGAAGTGTATAGAATAGACTAGTGACTTTCGCCGGTGGGAAAGCCCAGCCTTTTCAATAGTTGAAAAAGAAAGGCCTAAAAATATATAAGCTATTTGTTTGACTTGGGACACATTCTTCCATACTTTGAGCTACATTGGGAGCTTGTGTGCTAGAGTTTGGGATTTGAAAGAGTGGGAAGTTTGCAAAGGATTGAAGTTTTGCGGACATGTGAAGCTCATTTCCTTGGTTTTGTTTTCCTTCTCCCTTTCCTCTCTTGCAGTCTAATATACATTTGAATATTTTGCACATTTGTAGCTTTTAGATGATTATGAGCAGCTAACACTTTGCTTTAGGATTATTTTGAACCCCTATAAAGATTAACCCTAATTTCTCCTATCTTTTTTGTGATTAATGATACATAAGTGTTTATTTTATTCTTTTCTTATTATTTCTAACTTCTACGTGATTGGCCACCATTTATATGTTTTGCTCATTTGTGTAATACTAGAGAGGTCTAGCTTGAGTATAAAACTTAAATAAAATAGTGTAAGAATTTAAAGTTTGCATGAAGAATGAATGTGTTTATTAGTAAGATAGATATATACTTGCTAACCTTATACAGCCACATTAGAGTTGAAACTTAAAAATTGGGTTTTATTAATTATAACAAGAGATTGAGTAATATATTAATAAAATTAAACATTTGTTCTAGATTTGAATTATAATAAGCAATAGATTTGGATTTGAATTTGATAGATTTCTAAGTCCTAACTTATTCAATTCATTAAATTAGAAGTAGATTTAGAATTATCAGGTGTGTGTGTGAGTGTTGGACAAGGGTATACCTGTGAAGAAGTTGCCACCCATATATACTCCTTTCAAAGAAGTGCAATTAGGCATTGATTTTGGAATGCTGCCCTTCAAGTTATTGGAAACAACAGAGAAAATTTCAAGTAAAGGGACTTGATAGCATATATCTTCAGGCAAATTGCCAGATAATTGGTTGATGCCAAGGCTAAACTCCCTCATAGAAGGCGTGTTGAAAAGAGACCGAGGAATTTCACCTATAAAAAGAAAAAAAAAATGCACATATGAATGTGTTTCCTATTATTTCCTTGTTATATATGCTAATATGACTTGGTTGATCCATAACATTTTGGTCCACCTGATTTGACAAACTACAAGCTACTACCACATTTAATTGATTATGAAAATGGGATTCAATTAGAAGATGATGAGTGTGCTAAAATTTATATTTTTATATAAGGAATTATAATATACTCCGGCCATTCCATCCACAATAAGAACATTAGTAACAACTTTATAGATCCAAAAAAAGTTAGTTGAAACCTTAATCCTTTGAAACATTATATATCTTTTTAATTATACTTTTAATAAATATAAGTGCCTTAATAATGACAATTGAAATTACAGTTGATTTTTTTTTCAAAAGGAATAATAAATAAAGTATGGGTATAATTGAAAAATATTATAAAAACTACTCAATGTCTTATATTTTAGACAACCAAACATGGTCTGAAGGGAATATTGAGTTCAAATTTTGGGAATAATATAAGACAAGTTTTGCTACCCCTTTTAATTCTTTTTTCTTAGTAATAGGTGTTATATGTTTACGGCAAGCCTTAAAATTTATGCAAACTTTATGTCAATTATGCCTTTTTAATATCAGCCCCTTCTTTTCTTGTGAGTGGAATTTAGTTAAAGGAAAAGATTGATGGATAAGTAGAGTGAGCATACCTGTAAAGGAATTGAACTGTAAAAACAAGTAATTGAGCAACGTTTTATTGCCAATTGACGTTGGGATGGTGCCATTTAAATTATTTCCCTCCAAAGATAAATCCGTTAGAGAAGACATATTGCTGAAAAGAGATGATGGGATTTCACCTGCTTAAAATTAGAAGTGAGCAACCACTAATATAAGATAATAGTTACAAGGCTCTGACATTGATCTATCTTTAAATATTGATATTCTCGTGTTGATCATATATATATATATAACTCATTTTAATTGTAATTAAATTATCGATGTTCTCTTAAAAAAAATTCCAGTTTACCTTTTTTAAATTCATCATCTTTAACACAATTTTCTCTCTCATATATAACATTTACTCTATTCATAAAAAATTACAAAAAGATAAAATTGGAAGAAATTATACTCCCTCTGTTCAAAAATGTAAGGCATTTTTAACCGAATCTCACCCCCAATAAAATAGTTATTTACTTTTTAACTAACCCTATCTTTTCATATTTACCCTTATTAAAAACCTTATAATAAATATAAAGTCATTATCAATAGGGGTACTTTTAAAAAAAAAAACTGATTACACCTCAAAAGACTAAAAATGCTTTACATTTTTGAACGGAGAAAGTATATGATGACCCATCTTTTTATTTAAAATGACTAATAAAAAGAACCATAAAGTATTATTAGGTGACTTATATATATATATATATATATATATGGGACTAGAGGATTATCTGATATGGATCCTATGGAGGTGGCTTTGTCTACCATCTTTGTTATGTTTTTTTTTTTAACCTTCTCATCAACTGGCTTTTATTGTAGTCCAGTCTTTTTGAGATAATTTATATATATTTTTTGGCAATGAGATATTTTTTTTTTTTGAATACATAACTTCTTTAAGGATTTTATTCAGTCGAATATTAAATTTATTTGGGAGAATGACAGGTGACAGTTAGATCCTTGATAAAATTTTCTACAAAATAAATTATAAATATCAATTCAAATAGTTACAAACTAAAATTTCTGTTACAATCTAAAAATTATATCTGATATTTGAATACTTATTTGTAATTGAAACTCCTAGATTTGTAATTATTTAGATTGATATTTTCAACTTATTTTAAAAAAAAAATTGTCAAGGACTTAACTGGTATTAATTCAGTATTTTGGGACCTAATTGTTGTTCTTTCAATTTATTTTCATTTAGCTAGCACCTGTTAGAACTATTAGCTCAGTAAGAAAACTATGAAAGGATTTACGAACTTTTTTTTTTTTTGGGAAGCTTCACTCTTTTCAGGTGATTAATTATCATATTTGCCTCATCCTTATGGCTCTTTGTTATATTTCATATTCACTTTAATTTCGGAGTAAACAATCTAGCTGAGAGTTAATTGATACCTAAATTTAGAGGAGTTAAATTTTAGGAACTCGGCTGTAACTAGATTAATACTACAAGAATTAAATGACTAATTTTTCCTTTGTTTGTATACAAATAGAATTACTAAATTATTACTACTAGAAATCATGACAGATCAAAACATGAAGAAAATCAGCAATGAATATATAATTTAAGACACAACAAACAAATCATAGATATAATTAAAACTCATACCTTCCAAGTTGGCGTATGAAAGATATAAATATTGAAGGTTTGTCAAATTTCCAATATCGCTTGGTATGATTCCTTTGTTGAATGTGTTTGTGCTTAATTCTAAATCTGCTAAATCTTTGCATTGATGCCAAATAGAGGGCATTTTGCCAGACAATTCATTTTGAGCTAGCCAAAGTAGTTCAAGTTTTGGAAGCCCAATGCACAAATTTTCTGGGAGACTGCCAGTGAAATTATTTTCTAGAAGATTAATGCTTTCAAGCATTGAATTATTAAATATTGAAGATGGTATAGAACCAGAAAACTGATTGGTTGAAAGATCTATCATCCGCAACAGTGGAAGACTTCCAATCTCAGTAGGAATGGTTCCTTCAAAAATTAAAAACAAACTAAAATGTGTTAGTATCCATTTTAATAGCATGAACATTGTAAGTTAATTTTAACCTTCATAGCTAGCATATATGCCAGAGAACATTTATATATTGTGTCTTTAAGTTAATTCTTTTAATATATATATATATATATATACCCATTCCATTTCAAAATATAAGACACTTTAATTTTAACTACCTTTACAAGGATTAAGAAAAATAGTAAAAAAAAATTGAATCATTAAATAGGTGGAAAAAAAACATTATTACTACTTTCTAAGATTTCCCTCCAGTGAAAATTAATCTATTTTAATTACTTTTATTACTTTTTTCTCATATAATATCTCTCTACAATACATTTAATAAGGACATTTATGAAAACAAAAATATAATACAATCCACTTTCTGCAGAGGGTTTTACAGTTTGAACAAAAATTTTAACTGACAGAAAGAAGATGTTCTATATTTTCAGCCGGAGGGAGTATATAAGAATTGAGTTTCCTAAAAATAAGAAGGAAAAAAGAAAGATTTAGTTTCATCATCCTAAAGGAATTATATCAAGGTAACCAAATATATTTTCTTCTATATAAAAAACAGATATAGATCTTACAATCTTTTCAAGATACATACCTGAGAGAGCATTATATGACAAATCCAATAGTTCAAGCGAAGATAATTTGGAAACTGCTTGGGGAATAGGTCCATAAAGTTGGTTAACCGTGAGTAGTAATTGTTTCAAGTGCTTAAGTCTTCCTACCTCAGCTGGAATGGTCCCTTCAATTAAATTCTCACCCCAATCCAAGATTTGTAACCTTGACAAGTTGCATACAGATATTGGAATGAACCCATTAAAACTATTATTGCCAAGACTCAAGAGTTCTAGTGTTGATAAATCTCCAATCCGTGTTGGAATTTTCCCATCAAATTCATTGAAACTTAACTTGAGTAGTTTCAATCTACGTAATTGAACCAACTCGTCTGGTATATGACCATGAAAATTGTTGTTACTAAGATCAAGTTCAACAAGGAATGAGAGATTAGCCAACTGTGGAGATACTATGCCTTTAAGACCAATGCCACTAAGATTCAAGGAACGGACTCTTCCATGGCGAGTATTGCAACTAACACCAGCCCAATTACAAGGAGAAGAGGAGATTGACCAATTAGCTAAAAAATTGTATGGATCAGAAGTGATAGAGGATTTAAGAGCAAGTAGTGCAGATTTGTCAGTGGTGATATTGGTTTCACTCCAAGCTAAAGAGGCTATGGAGGAATGGAAAAGGAAGATGAAAATGAAGGAAGTAGGTTTTCTCATTTTTGCATATAAGACTTGTCAAAACTGCAAGTATTAAGCATCCATGATTGTACACATCATTTTATACTGTTTCAAACCCAAAGCAAGTCAAGATGTGCGAACACAATATGCCAAATTGAAAAAGGACATCTCTACTGGTTGGAATAAAAAAGTTTATATTAACTCAATTTTATAACCAAATATATTCGTATAATGCAAGTTAATTTTTTTATAATTTAAATATATATATTTAATTTTAATTACTCAACCATTTTCCTTGTAATAGAAACTCAGTTAATCAAACAAATTAAGCACAATCCTTCATTGATGATGTGAAGTTCACTAGTATATTGCAATCTCATTTGAGGTAAGATTCAAGAAATTAAATTGAACAACTCAATCCAACCCTAATTGGTGGCCATTAATCAACCAGCGTCTTAAATTTTCTTTTGTTTCATAATTTATCTTGAGCTAATAATTTGTTTTTAGATTTTCTTTTCAAGATTTATTTTATTATTTACTCCCTTTGAACCACAATATACAAGTTATTGTTAACTAATTTATATTTCTAAAAAAAATTGGCTAAAATCTTAATTTTCTAAACGTTTTGAAGGCTTTTCAATCATCCCTTGAATAGAATAAATAAAAAATTTTATTTATTCAAAACACACTAATGAATTTCTTGAATGAAGCATAATAAATTAATGGCATAATTGGAGAAAAGTATATAAAACCTACCAAATGTTCTATATTTTGAACCAAACAACACTTTTAGAAAATGCCTACTAATGGAGTATAATATATCATCGTTGACTCTTTAATAATGTTCATCTATCAGTCTATGGAATTGCAAAGCAGTTCCACATCGATGTTCGCTGCAAGGACATTCATTGTCGGCCAGACCTGAAAGTCACCTTCAACAAGACAAGAAACAACTACAAAATATCAAGGACATTCATTTTGTGTGTGTGTGTGTGTGTGTTTTTTTTTTTTTTTTAATATCATAACTCAAAATATGAGTCCGTGACTCATGTATAGACTAAACCAATTTCATTTGGCATGGTTTAATTAATATGGTAAGTGGAAATTTATTTGAACTGATTTTTTTAAACAAATTGAGAAATATCTGTGCATAAGAGAATAAGAGAAGGCCGAAAAAAGAAAAGTAAGAGAATGAGAGAATAAATAACTTTCTTATTGTTTTAGTGTGTAGAATATAATTGAAATGCCCTCTATTACTTAGAAAGCTATTACTAAAAAAATAAATATAAAATATGGTAATATGAACAAAAATAAGTATAAAAAGTGCACTGTAAAAGACGTTGATGCGAAAGAATAGGAAGAAAATTGGGCCTTCTATTATTTCTTTCGTCATCATTTTTCCATTCAGAAAAATATCAAAGTCACACATCATTTGACAAGAAACAGATCTTTGAATTATTGTTTCCTTATGAATTATTTTGGTAACTCATCACTTTTTGAAATTCTTAAAATTGTATTGAACTAAGATATATTTTAGATTCAAACAAAACCTGAATGAAATTTTAGAGATTCTGTCTTTAATTTTTCCAAATATAAAATATGAAAAAAGAATTCATGTTAAAGAAAGAAAAACGACAAAGTGTGAAATTATTTTCTTAAAACAAAAAAGTCTTTTATTTATTGGCAATTGGTTCTATAAAAATTGCGTGTCATATAATTTAACCTTGGCGGCCCACAAAATTCATTTACTTTAATTTTATTATTTCATTTGTGGTCAAAGTTGGCAGGTGATAGATACCCCTAAAGGATATCAGAAAGAAGCATGTGAGGATACATTTGTCCTTTCACATGTAGAAAACCTGTTTAGTATTGCTCGGAATTGGACCTGAAAAAGAAACACTTTCATCTAATTTGTCAAAAGAAAAATTCAGTGAATGACCATAATTCAGCATTATTTCTCCATTTGATTTGATGGTCAATTTGATTAGTGCGTAGAAAAAATGGGCATGAAGACAAGATATTTTCGTTGCTTAAATCTCGGGACGCAAACTAAGAATTTGAAGACAGAAACTAACAGAAATAAATAATTTGAAACATGATATATAAAAGAAAATGACAATTAATGATCACATAAGAACATTAATGATAATTATAAATTATGAATTATTAAAATTTTAACAACAGAATATGGCCATTACTTGTAATTAAAAAAATATAAATATTTAGTTAAGAAATTAACAAAATATATTTAAAATTATTTGTAACATCAGTTAAAAATTTATAAAAGTCAATTATAAATCTCAATTTTTTGTTATCAATATAAAAATAAATTACTTAAAAAATTAAAAAATATATATTTGAAATTATTTATAAAGGTAGTTGGCAATTTATGAAAGCTAGTTGTGAATGATAAGTTAATCACTTGTAATTTTGTCTGTCAATATATAGATAAATTATTTAAAAAATTTATAAAATATATTTAAAATTATTTGTAATGTTATTTGAAATTTATGAGGGTCAATTGTAAATTACAATTCAATTACTTGTAACCTTTAGCTATCGCTTGGGAAATCAATAAAAGATACTTGAAAATTTTGTAATGTTAGTTAAAAATTTATAAAAGTCTATTGTAAATATCAAGCTAATCAATGAAAGATAATTTACTATAAGTAAGGATCATGATTTGTTATTGAAATTTAAAAAATTCAAGACCTATAATTATCATTATTATTCTTATCGTCCCTAATTGTTATTTTCTTTAGAAAAAAGTAAAGATTAACGTAATAAGTACTTTTTTATAGTAAAATACGCTAACATCTTTATAATTTATCTTTTTATAGTAACTTTTTTTCTACTTTCAAAATCCATGGAAGCCTCTTTTGAAACCAAAAATTACATAATATATACTTGGCTAAAGTATTCCTTCACTCATTTAACTTTGAATAAAATTTTATTTTGATCTCTTAATTTTATAAAATATATTTTCAGTCCTCTAACTTTAATACCGTTAGTTTTATTATAAAAAATTTATATTAATTTTTAAATATTAATAAAATATTTTTAAATGTTGACATATTAAGTTTAATTTTTATAATAATAATAATTGATATCAAAAATAATTATTTAAAATTAAAAATTTTAGGATTAGAGGACTAAAAAAATATATCATAAAATATATAAAATTAAAAGATAAAAGTATACTTTAACCTATATACATCCTCTTTATTTTAGATATTCTATTTTCAACCATCGATCTAATATTTAATTTACAGTCAAATCACATATTGGGACCAAAATACTCCTCATTTACATTACTATAATTTAATATCTGCGGCATTTTTGTTTCTTTCTTTGTAATTTTACACTATATATGTATGTATGTATGTATGTATAGAGAGAGAGAGAGAGAGTAGGAACTTATATGTAATGACTCAAAATGAGTCCTAACTGATGTATAGACTAAACCCATTTAGATCCAATATATATTCTAAGTGGAAAATTATTTGAACTAAATTAAAATGGAGAAAAACTTATACACTTAGCCTTATATATTTAATATATTTATTTACAATTAAATTAAGACATGTGAATCTTCTCTAAATTATTTATTCTATAATAGACTCTTGTTATTAATATTATTAATACATTAAATTTCACTTGTCTAAATTTAATTAAATAAAAGTATATTAAATATATAAGACTTAGTACCTAAGTCACCCATTAAGAAAATCAAAATTAATAAAAAAATAAAAATTAGTAAAATATAAAATCAATTTCTTAGGGGGTAAATAGCAATTTGACTCTTAAACGACAAGTTTAAGAGCGTCTAGAATCCTAAATTTTTTTTATAATATTTTTTTAACTTTTAAAAATGATATAATGTAATTGTACCGTTAATAAAAGTTAACTTTGAGTATTAGTTGATAAAAAAATGGAAAAAAAAAAAGGCAAGGAAAATTTTCTTGGTTTTTCCTGTTATTTTTCAGGTCCTATTTGTAATTTTGAGTCTTTTCTCTTACTTTTTGATCAAGTAAAAGTAAACTTTTATTGATGGTAGAAATTGTATTGCACCATTTTTAAAAGTTAAAAAAATATTGCACAACAAGAATTTTGTGTCTCATATGCTCTCAGACTTGTAGTTTAAGGGTCAAGTTGTCATTCAACCCATTTTTTAAAACATCTAAACTATTTTATTTATTGGTAATTGAGTCTACAAAGAAGAATTTATACAAAAAAAAAATGCAGATGCTCATATGTCTGTCCCATTAAAAATTGCGTGTTGTATAATTTCATTTGGAGACCACATTTCATTTTCATTGCACTATTTCCTCTGCAGTCCAAGTCATTGGTAAGCAATAAGTACACCCCGCAAAAAACGTCAGTGAAAAGTAGCTTGTGTGAATACATTGTTGTTTCGCATAGAAATTAAGCATGTTCGATCTACATTGTTCGTCATTTGAAAATAAGTGGATGACCATAATTTGATGGTCAATTTTAGTGGGCAGAAAAAATGGGTGTGAAGACAGATATTTTCGGTGCTTAAAAATACCAATATATTTTCTTTTACATATCCTGAGATAATTTGAAGAGCTTTAACTACCCAAAAAAAAAAAAGAATTTAAAGGATACAATCTTTCACCATGAATCCATGATATAAAACAAGCACAAATTAACGTAATAATTTAATATTAATTTAGCATTTAGTAGCAATTTGCGATGTCATTGATACAGTGAATCGAAGTATATCATCTTATTTTGCAAAAGATTAACTTCCATATAGTTAATTAGGGTAATCTTGGTAGTTAAAAAAATTATGAGATTGAAAGCGCGTTCACAAAAATCAACGTCGATGAAAAATGAAAGATCATAGGCACAAACAATGAAACAAGACCCATACACAATTTTATTCTTTTGTTTTGTTTGTTTGTTTACTGAGCAATTATATAGAAGGCTCATAAGCGAACAGGAAAAGATAATGAGATATGTGAACAATATTATTGGAGAAACAAAATTGCCAACATAAAAAGTAAGAAGTTTAT